AAAAAAAGCATGCTTCAAATTTGTTTCTTTTTAAACAGATGAAAGAGTTGTGAAAACAGAACTGAATAATCATCGCAAAAAATCATCAGGAAACTTTCTAGCAGTATTAAACTAATTAAAAGAATAATTTGCAAAAATTTGAAAGTGATTCCTACAAAAAATTTTTAATTTTCAAAAAAAAATGTATTGGAGTAATTGGTTGTATTGCTAAACCACTTTATCAGAAAATATTGTTGGCTTACATACAAGTTTTTTGTAGCTCCCTTAAAATGTACATAAAAATTGATGTGTTGTAACATCAATTTATGTTGACAGCTTTTTAAATTTGAGGTAAAAAGCAAAAAAATAAATTTTTTTATTTTTGACAGACTTGTTTTATGCTTCTAAAAGGTATGTACCTCTATCTTTTTTTTTTTTTTTACAAGTATTAATGAAGTAAACAGTAAATGTGCTAAATGATGGTATAGTGATGGTACTTAAAGATGTAAAAAAAATACTTTTTTTTTTTACACTTTAATCTAGGCTTTATGAAAAATTGCAAAAATGTTACTTTCAGAAGTTCAATAAAATTAGGAGTTTTTATTTTCATTCATTTCCATTTTTTTTGGCCAGTTTTCCCCTTTCTGATTGAATTTTTTTAATAACTTATAATGAATGTTGCCAAAAAAGAAAGAGGAAAGAACAGAACAGAACAGAAGAGATACATAAGATTTTTACCTGTTTTCTTGTAAAAGATGACAAAAAATAGGCATATCTGAAGGAGCATTTTCTGAGCACACTAACGACAATACGGATCAGTTTTCAAAGCTACTTTTGTTGGATAAATCCTTGACAATGGTATTGTTCAATGTCTATGTAAAAATCTCCTTGGCTGCTGCTGCTGTTTGTTATGTGCTTGTAGCAACCACCAAATACTAATGTATCCATATTGATGCCAACAAATACTTATTTTACTCCTCAATCTTCTCTCAAAATATTTCAGGTTTAATTTGGAAGCAGATAAAAATAGAAAATTGACAAAAGATAGGGGAATTGGATGTCATCATCAATAACGTTTCCCATAGCCATA